CTGTCAACTTTTTTGGGGGGAGTTGCAAAGGCGTGGTTTGCTTTCTAAAAACAAACGCCCATTCTCATTTTTGGATAGGTTCCCATTTTTCAAGTCTTGAGAGAAGGGGAGGGGTAGCAGAGATAGCAGCTTTGAGGAGCAGCAAACACGGAGTGCCGCCTAGGATTTGATCGATTTTCCCGCCCACCCACACCTATCGCTCAAGAGAGGGGGGAGCATGGGGGGGTCTAGTCGGTCGACGACTAGGAGGTAGGTACCGTGTAGGTAGTATATTATGAGTAAGATATGTTGAGGCCAGAGGCCGAAATATTAGTAATGATAGTAGGGCAATCTTGGGAAGTTTGCAACGGGTTAGTCCGATAAGTAAACGTTGTGAGCAAGACGGCATTTTACCTGCGCTCCCAATTTGTTTCATGTGTCTTGGTTTTTCTTTGGTTGCCTGCAGAAAAAATAATCCAGAATTCTTGAGCAAACATAAACCATGACATCTTTATTAATAGTATCATGGCTGCCGACTGCGGACCGACCACGGAGAAACATGTCAGACACATGCCAGGCCCCTTCGGTACCGGCACGGGAGGATACCAGGCACGGGAAGATGCCCGCGGCAAGCCCGGCAAGTAGCGCACTAACGGCAAACGCCGCAAATATTTGCGTGACACACAACGGACAACAACACCAACGGGCGCGCATACAGAACAAAAAGACACGCATACAGCAACGACACACATACACACAAAAACACCAACCACCACCACGACGAGTGCACACCGACTCGTGAGGGCAGCAGCAGCATGTCGATGCAGTTTACCCTGCAGGGCGCCCGCTCAGGGTCAAGCGCGGGCGCACCTCTGTCAACTGCTGGCGGCGCCATGGTTGAAGGGGCAGCTTTTGCGACGGTTTGGTTTTTAGGGGATATCAAGTCGGATTTTCACGTCGTATACACATTGTTATGAATTGTGCATATGAATACCCTATTACTATCATGTTGTTACGTGGAAAACTGCGTCGACATGCTGCTGCTGCACTCACGAGTCGATGTGCACTCGTCGTGGTGGTGGTTGGTGTTTTTGTGTGTGTTTTTAATGTGTGTGTTTTTATTTTTAGCATCGACCGCGCTTACCGGCTGGCCAATGAAAAGACGTCAGTCTCAATGCGATTGAAAATACGAAACACTTTTATCTGCCATGAACTGGGACCCCGTGAGGGGGCAGCATGGGGAGGCTAAACTATCCTTCGGATCAAAGTCAGAAACAGCAGCAACACAAGAAAACTGCACGTGTCTACCAAGGCTACTACCTTGTACTCGAGTTCGTTTAGGAGTACTTTCACCATTATCCTCCTTGTTTTCGCTACTTATATTCTGATCCTCATTTTGACAAGAATCTCTGGGCAGTTCTTCCCTAGTCNAGGCTAAACTATCCTTCGGATCAAAGTCAGAAACAGCAGCAACACAAGAAAACTGCACGTGTCTACCAAGGCTACTACCTTGTACTCGAGTTCGTTTAGGAGTACTTTCACCATTATCCTCCTTGTTTTCGCTACTTATATTCTGATCCTCATTTTGACAAGAATCTCTGGGCAGTTCTTCCCTAGTCCTACGTTTTTTGTTTTGGGGAAGGTCATCTGGCTCCAACCCTTTGCTCTCTTCCACTCCTCCATGTTTTCCTCCTCCATCGTCGTCGTCGCCATCCTTTCTTCCCTTTCTCTTTCCTTCGTGTCCGTCACTCCCAATAGAATTACCCTCATTACTATCGTTGTCGCAGAGATCCCAACCGATTGGCCCTGGTGGAAGTTGGTCGATCAGTAGCCCATGACGTTTGAACACATCGCGAGTTCGCATGGAGAGAAAACGAGCTATCTCGCAGATAAACCGTCTCCGAATCCTGTAATTATGGCAAGCTTTCAGGCGGACTAATGCTCTTTCGTCGTCGAAATTCCCCCGGCAAAAAGCTTCGTGCGCCAAGTGGTTGGCGATAGCAACGATGAGTCGATTGGTGCCTTTGCCAAGACCACCATTCGATGAAAAAGCAGCAAGAAGGGTACAATCTAGACGGGTTGAAAGTTCCCGCATAGACTAGTGATTTTCCTTACTTGCGGCTCGATCTTCGAGGGCGGATCCTGGCTTTTGCATCGACTTGTCGATGCTTCGACACTTTATTGTTCAGGAGGACCCGATTCGCAGGGTATCCGTCGATTGACTTTCACCTGAATCGGTACACCTTCGCACATGGCGTCAGCTGGATACTGGTTCGAATCTCCTTGGGTGCACATTTGTTCTCCTGACTTGGATATTTTCCCATGGGCACAATGTGTGTCAGTCCTGAGAACACCTCTTGGAGTCGATCCTAGAAAGAACCTTGTGACACTTCCATCGAATTACCCATCCTGGCCACAAGAGGTTCCCAGTAGAGGGTAAATTCTGTGGGTGGAGAGTGTTAGGAGGACCCGATTCGCAGGGTATCCGTCGATTGACTTTTACCTGAATCGGTACACCTTCGCATTATTGTGTGTTGTTGTTGTTGTTGTTGTTTCTCACATTAGCTCTATAGTCCACAAAAAATGGGGAGCCCGTGGTCTCAAAACCCGGCACATACGACGCCGCAAGAAAACAAAAAAAACAAAAATAGGGTACAAACCACTCGGAAAAAGAAAACAAAATGAAAGAAAGAAAAGAACAGGTATCGCACCGACCGTTCGAGAAAAGAGCCTTCGGACACCGATCAAAATAACACAAAAACAAAAATAACAGAAAAATAAAGGAGGACGCTTCCCACACCCGCCGAAAGAAAAAATCAAAGGGTAACGTACCAGCACCAGGCACTGCGCACCAGGGCATGGGAGTAACGGAGCAATCAGGGCAAAGAGGCGGCAGATGGGCAGACAGCCAGACGTACAAAGACAAAGGCAACAGCAAAGCGAGATCAAGGTACCCAACACAGCAGAGTAGGCAGGGAGGTCATGAGAAAAAGAAACACAGCACAGAGGCCGAAGGCAATAAAAAGGACATACATGAAGGAGTATAGCATACGGCAGGGAGGGAAACAGGGCGCAACAACATCAGCCGGGTACATAGTTCGCCACAAGCGCTGCCTCGGCCTGTGTGTTATAGCTGCATGCGTGTCTTTTTGTTCTGTATGCGCGCCCGTTGGTGTTGTTGACCGTTGTGTGTCACGCATTTATTTGTGGCGTTTGCCGATGGTGCGCTGCTTGCCGGCTTGCCGCGGGCATCTTCCCTTGCCTGGTAAGCTACCGGTCGCCCCGGTGGTCTAGTGGTATCCTCGTAATCCGCTAGTCGCAGAGGTCGTGAGTTCGAATCCCCATGGGGTGAAAAATTTACGAAATTCGCGGGTGAAAGCGAAATATAGCTAAAAAGCTCTCGTGAGTACCAAACTTCGACGTTAGCACCGCCGTTGACGAGGGAAAGGGACGGCTGGACCCTTCTCGCGATAAAAGTAGAATTCAGACTCAGAATAAGTCCAGTACCCAGCCGGTTTTCCTCCACTTACTGAAAAGACTCCACCACATCCCGTTCGACTGTGGGTATATCTCGAATGGGTAGTCTTTCTGTACGTGTATTTGTTTCTCCTTAATTCAGCACGCACCGCAGGAGGAAGGCGGGGCATGAAAAGAAATATAACGAAGAAAAAAGTCCTGGTGTTTTCCCCCTCCTGTGTGACCCTGAATGGTTGTAGTTGTACGAAAAAATATGAAAAGTGCAGTACTCTCTACATACGCTGAAGTGTAGGACACGGGCCACCACGAAAAATGGGGGGACTGTCGCCATCATTAATGGGACGAAAACACACACACAACACACACACATGGATGAGGTGTTGGGAGGTTCTGAGACGTTCCGAGGCTATGCGATGTTCTGCCGTGCGGTGACGTGGAGGTCGATTTCCGCTCGATTTCCGCCGTCCGTAAGTGGACAAATGTGGGTATGATTTGGACAATGGTGGGTCAAAATATAGACATAAGTGGGTACATGAAAAAAATAGTTGACGCCAGCGGGTATACCTACCGCGATGTCGGACAGAAGTGGGCACTCTGGCCAGGCCCTGCGCGCCTCGGCGGTNGGCTATGCGATGTTCTGCCGTGCGGTGACGTGGAGGTCGATTTCCGCTCGATTTCCGCCGTCCGTAAGTGGACAAATGTGGGTATGATTTGGACAATGGTGGGTCAAAATATAGACATAAGTGGGTACATGAAAAAAATAGTTGACGCCAGCGGGTATACCTACCGCGATGTCGGACAGAAGTGGGCACTCTGGCCAGGCCCTGCGCGCCTCGGCGGTATTTGACGCATTGCAAACTCAGGCTTCCTGATGTTCATACAAAAATCACCAGGAATTCCTGATGATCGAGTTTGAAATATGTCCCGGGCTATTCGCCAGATCATCGGGAGGATCTTCCATTCCCGATGAAATCATCAGGAAGGATCTTCACGACTGCGGCACCCACACCCGCGTCCGTACTGACTGCCGGCGTGCACGAGCTTGCACGCACACAAACCCACACTTCTCCCGAACAGCCGTGTGTCACTCGTCAACTACCAACTCGTCAAATACCATTGTTCCCCGTATCCGCCTCCGCGCTTTGTTTTGGTCCTCTGTGTACACCCCTTGAAGGTTGCGACACTCCCCGAAGAGCANCACAAACCCACACTTCTCCCGAACAGCCGTGTGTCACTCGTCAACTACCAACTCGTCAAATACCATTGTTCCCCGTATCCGCCTCCGCGCTTTGTTTTGGTCCTCTGTGTACACCCCTTGAAGGTTGCGACACTCCCCGAAGAGCAAACCCCCATCACCTCCCAGCTCCGCATAGAACTGGTCGAACTCCTCCTTGTCGAACCCGGTGTACTGCCTGAACGAGCAGATCGACCCATGCCAGGGACGCGTACAGAGGTAGTGGTAGACCCCGTTGGCATGGACCATCTGCCGTCTCCTGTTAGATGCGGCGTCGTTTGCTTCGCTCATCCCCTTCCCTATCGTGGGTAGAAACCTCCTAAGTTTGTTCACAGATACAAGCTGCGTGTGACGGGAGGCTCTCTCGCCCGGACTCTCAGGCGCCGAATGCGCAATCGCAAGCATCTCCTGGAGGCCAGTCTCTGCCTGCTGCGTCAAGGCCCCCATCTNTGACGCATTGCAAACTCAGGCTTCCTGATGTTCATACAAAAATCACCAGGAATTCCTGATGATCGAGTTTGAAATATGTCCCGGGCTATTCGCCAGATCATCGGGAGGATCTTCCATTCCCGATGAAATCATGAAAACGGCCTTTGGCCGTTTTCATGATTATCATCAGGAAGGATCTTCACGACTGCGGCACCCACACCCGCGTCCGTACTGACTGCCGGCGTGCACGAGCTTGCACGCACACAAACCCACACTTCTCCCAACAGCCGTGTGTCACTCGTCAACTACCAACTCGTCAAATACCAACCACCATCATGAACAACAACACCCCGAGCTGGCGAGGTGGTGGAGGGTATGCTACGGGCGGTGGGTACGCAGCCGGTGGCTTCCAGACAGCGGGGTGGAACGGTCGTGGGGAACGAGAGCGAGATGTTGGCACTTGGTCCGAGCAACAAGGACAGCAGCAGCCTCCGCAGCAGCAGCAGCATACGTCCCGTACTCCCGTGGGACGCGAGTGGAGCAGCAGCGGCGGAGTTTTCAGTGCGGGTGTGTATCACCAACGTACTTCGTACGTGGACATGTCAGGCGAGCACGTGGCCGAAAGGTACCCGGCGCAAGGAGGACAAGCCGTCGAGTACGATATGCAGCAGCAACCCGGGGGCAGTTCAAGAGGAAATATTCTCGCAGGAGATAGTTTCGCAGAAGGCGCGGAGTTGCAGCCTCTAGCAACCCGGCCGCAGCCATCCCTCCCCGGATTCGTGGGTGGGCAGGCTGGTTCCAAGAGGACCGCCAACGCATACGCAGCTTCGTCATCGTCACCCAGACGGCCTATCTCCTCCTCAGCTTCCTCGAACTGAGTAATTAACTCGATCACGTTTCTCTCATGTAACCATGCAGCGGCCTGAGCGTGCAGCTGGCGCTGTTGCTCCGTTAACCCCTCCTCTTCGGACATCGTGTACTACTACTGCTGTACGCTGGTAGCTGGTTACACATTGTTGTGTGGGTAGCGGGCCGCAGCCTGCGGGATGTGCTCCTACTTTGCGGTAACTACGTTGAACAGTCGAAATTCCGAGGCGCGCGGCAGGACACGTCACATTTTGGTGCGTGGGACGCACCGGCACCGGGACCGGGAGTATGCAAACCATTCGGATATTTGGCTCTATCCTGATGAAATCATCGGGACGTGAAACAGCCGAAATTACACGTAACACCAGGACGCCGGAGTTTGCAATGCGTCAAATATCAACAATTGCGACACCCACTTTATGAATTGTTTCTCTGCACCCAGGTAGTTGTTCTCAAAACCGAAAGTACCGGCAAACGCCCTGTTTCCAGGTGCAGGTCCCTGTGGAAAGTTTTTTTTTTCTTGTTGTCAATTTATTTGCAAATAACCGGAAAATCTTGTTCACTTTTTCCTGGGGTGGGCTTTTGTCAGACCACAATTATGAGACCGGATTTCGACAGCTCTCGCGATTCCCCAGGTGGAATTTTCTTCCGATTTCGATTTCAGCAAAAATTGACGAAGTTATCGCCGAAAAACTGGATTAGAGAGACCATTTTGTTCACTTTTTCCCTCCGACATTCAACCATAGAGCTTCATCAAGACCACGGCAATCGATTCCTCTCGAAATTCTCCAGATGGAATTTTTTTTCCGATTTTCCGAAAAAAAACTGGTTCGCGAGATATTCGGCATATTGCTTTGCCGATGGGCGGCGATTTGTTCCTGCCACGCACGCACACACGCACGCACACATAGCGCTTGTGCGAGGGTGTGCCCTCGCCCATACGCCCTACTGCGGCACTCAGCACCCGCAGCAGTCATGGACACGAAGAAGAAACGTGGCAGACCACCAAAGCGAGGCAGGTTCAAAGGCAAATTTCAGAGCCATGAACCAGCTGTCGCTGCTCCCGAGCCATTGGACGACAGCACATCTTCTCCGATGGAAGTCGTTGACGAACCACACGACGACCACGACGAAGCCTGGTGCGACGAAGACGCCGGTGCCGCCTCGGGTGGAAGTCAGGCCACACTGTCTTTCGGGTCCGCTGCTGCTCTCGGTGAGTCTCCAGCAGCTTGCGCCGCACTGTCTTGGGTTCGCGAGGTTGCGCCGCCTCGGCGTGCGGAGGGACCTTGTCGGCAGACTCTCAGCCGTCGCAGACAGGTTGCGCTAGGGGCTGCGAAACGTCAGATGGCGAGCTATATGGCCGGCTGGCTGACGCGTGGAGCGGAGCAGCAGTCACAGCAGTCATTATCTCAAAGTTCGGAGACGCGGCGGAACCACTGCTTGAAGAGGACGACAGCAGTGCGGTGCCTGCTGNGCTCATCCCCTTCCCTATCGTGGGTAGAAACCTCCTAAGTTTGTTCACAGATACAAGCTGCGTGTGACGGGAGGCTCTCTCGCCCGGACTCTCAGGCGCCGAATGCGCAATCGCAAGCATCTCCTGGAGGCCAGTCTCTGCCTGCTGCGTCAAGGCCCCCATCTGTTTTGCCAACGCATACGCAGCTTCGTCATCGTCACCCAGACGGCCCATCTCCTCCTCAGCTTCCTCGAACTGAGTAATCAACTCGATCACGTTTCTCTCATGTAACCATGCAGCGGCCTGAGCGTGCAGCTGGCGCTGTTGCTCCGTTAACCCCTCCTCTTCGGACATCGTGTACTACTGCTGTACGCTGGTAGCTGGTTACACATTGTTGTGTGGGTAGCGGGCCGCAGCCTGCGGGATGTGTTCCTACTTTGCGGTAACTACGTTGAACAGTCGAAATTCCGAGGCGCGCGGCAGGACACGTCATATTTTGGTGTGTGGGACGCACCGGCACCGGGACCGGGAGTATGCAAACCATTCGGATATTTGGCTCTATCCTGATGAAATCATCGGGACGTGAAACAGCCGAAATTACACGTAACACCAGGACGCCGGAGTTTGCAATGCGTCAACTGCTGTACGCTGGTAGCTGGACACATTGTTGTGTGGGTAGCGGGCCGCAGCCTGCGGGATGTGTTCCTACTTTGCGGTAACTACGTTGAACAGTCGAAATTCCGAGGCGCGCGGCAGGACACGTCATATTTTGGTGTGTGGGACGCACCGGCACCGGGACCGGGAGTATGCAAACCATTCGGATATTTGGCTCTATCCTGATGAAATCATCGGGACGTGAAACAGCCGAAATTACACGTAACACCAGGACGCCGGAGTTTGCAATGCGTCAATTAGGGTCAAAGTTGTGCCTGAAAGTGGGAAAATGATAAAGATGAGGTGTTGGGAGGTTCTGAGACGTTCCGAGGCTATGCGATGTTCTGCCGTGCGGTGACGTGGAGGTCGATTTCCGCTCGATTTCCGCCGTCCGTACGTGGACAAATGTGGGTATAATTTGGACAATAGTGGGTCAAAATATAGACATAAGTGGGAACATGAAAAAATTAGTTGACGCCAGCGGGTATACCCATCGCGATGTCGGACAGAAGTGGGCACTCTGGCGAGGCCCTGCGCGCCTCGGCGGTATTAGGGTCAAAGGTGTGCCTGAAAGTGGGAAATTTTCGATGCCCGTGCTGTGTATGGTCCCTGGCTGTGTCGCGCAGGTGTCAGAATGGGGTTTTGAGTCGTTTGGAGGCCGCTTTTGAAGTGCGCGCGCGCTGGATTTTCGAGTTCCCATTTTTGTCCGAAAAAGGGGTGGGTATATATACCCACTTGTGTCCATTTCCCTAACAACACTGTTAGAAAGGCTTATCCATGAGTCTACCCAGTCAGCGCTGACTGGTCAGATGGTCTAAGTTTAGCTAATGGCTGAATCCACGCCTTTTTCAGCCTGAAAAATTTACGACGCCCCTTGGAACAGATAACACTGGACAACGCGCTGCTCACTGGCAGCGCATACACCACATGACAATCTACACGCATGCTTAGACGCGGTACTTTGTCGGGGCACGTCTCGAACGGGCATGTGTTGACTTCGCGAATGTGTTCACTGTATTTCCCGACAAACCGTGACAAAGACTTGAAAGACTTTTTTTTTGCTGCTGCGGCTGCTGCTGCTGCTGTGACGATCTTCAGTTTTCTGCTGTACGTGGCTTCCTCTTCTAGTTGTTTGTTGTTCTTTTTTTCTCCCATCATTGGACCCTTTCGTCTGCCCCTCTGGCCCCTATCCTCCACTTCTACCAGCTAGACGACCCAACCGGGGTCACATAGGAGGGGGGCGTTGGACCCCCTCCTGCAGTTCCTGCCTGACATATTTTTTTCTCGAGAAGGGTACAGTAATCCCTTCCCTCGGACTTATGAAGTCGATCAAGTTTACTAACAACGTGCGCGTGTTGCAACGGAGTCTACAATAGACGAGGGAAGAAACGAGTGAAGCATACTGTTGTATCTGTTCCTACGGACACGTTTTTTTGTAGACATAGTCTATGCGTACGCGTGTTGGCACTTTAGGTTTAGAGACTCCTACGGTCTGGGATTGATCAGAAAGCTGTTGCGGCGATGATGATCTCGTGTTTCGGATTAGGCTATGTGACGTCAACACTTCCTTACGTGCCACCGCAAGCAACAAGCAACAAGCACAACAACCGTGCCATCTAGTCATAGAGACTCTGAAGCAAGCAGCACTTCGGTTCTCGAGCTACTGGTGCATTATTATGTAGACAGAGTTACCCCGACCATCCAGACAGGTATCGGCCCCAAGCCTCAAGGACTGCGTAAGATCCGACCCATGCCAATACAGGGCTGCGTTCTTCTTCCGTATCATGACACAGGCCAGTGCCAAGAACTGTGAGCATGGAACGGCGAATGAACACCGCACAGACAACACACCCAATCCCGGCACCCCGCCTCACCTGGGTGCATCATCAGCACAATCGTCCTATATCTAAATCCACGGTGCGTGGACGTGCATGCATGCGTGCTGGTAGAACTTCCCCCCACTCACACCTCCTTACCCGTTTCTCTCTTCGGTTGTCCGTCGGTGGTGATTTTCAGTCAGGTCGATGCTGTGCAGCCCCCTGACGACGTAGTTTGCCAGTGGATAGCTGCCGGGAGGGTGGAAGGGGGGCGGGCGAGAAAGATCAAGCTGTGTGTGGTGCGAAATAGGCTCGTTTCAGGGGATGTTTGGGTTGTGTCCCCGGATTGAGGCTCCCCTGGCATTGTTGTCTTTGAATGTTTGGTAGCCGCGTTGCCGCGCATAAATTGAGAAGAGAGAACTAACCGGGCAAGGGCAAAGGTCAAGTGGGCATGTGTTGAGTACCAGTTCGGTTGCAGAGATCCAGGCAGAGGTGAGTTAAGCATGTGTGTGCGTGGATGGGTTGAACAACAACAGCAGTGTTGGAACAACAACAACAACAATAGTGTTGGTATGCAGCTCTGTTGAGGCGTATCATTAACGACCAAACAATCACGGAACATTTCACTTAATCGTTCTGGCCTGCGCCTGTTGTTGCTGAAACCAGCAGGCCGGGTGGATAGGATCTTTCTAAGTGTGTTGTCCTCCGTGTCGGGTGCTGCTCATTGCGCTTTTACCGCTGCTCTATGGTGAGCAACACCAAGTCAATCAACCTGTTGTGTGCCGAGCAAAGCATGTATTCAGGGAAGGAAACATACTTTCCTTTGCGCTGACAAAACGAATAGAACAAGCGAAAAAACGTTGGATTTTCATTCACCGTTCCGTGGAAACTTGCACGACTTTTCCGAAGCGTTGATAACGAGCCTGAGTGCAGCAGCCGCCGAGAGACGAATCAACAACAAGTTCCCTCAACAGCTATCTGTCCATTCCCTTCCTCGACGACATCCGCAAAGACAATCAAGCATCCATGAGAGACAAGAACCTCGAACCCAGCAGAAACTTGCACAAACATGGTAGACTAATGCAGAGCCGCACTGTTCTGCATTTGATTGGGTAATTGGGTCATCAGAACCCGAATACCAAGTATCAGATGTGGTGACTCTGTTGTTGCTACTTGCTGTTGCTAGACAGTGTTGTCCACTACTGCGCGAGTGCATGCCCAGAGATGCTTCGCCAGAGGTGCGGAAAGAAGGGGCACAACGAGAAAAAACTGCCCATCGAGAGCTGAGACTGCAGTCACCGCAATATGAGTTGGATTTGGTGCTGTCGAGTTGAACGTCGCATACCAAGCACTCTAATGTTATATAGATGTGCTTTCGCAGCGGTGCATCAACCCCCCCCCCGTTTCGTGCCTTGCGTGGACTTCGGCTCGTCGGCATTTTCCTGTGAAGAGCCGATTTTTATGATGCGACTGACGAAAGTACGGAGGGGATTTTTTCTGGTGTGTTATTTTTCCGCCGCCCGCTCGTCGTTTTTTCTCGTGTGATACGAACGTAGTTCACGAAACTCGATGTTGCCTGTCCGGGATACCATGCTCGTCTGAGTAACTAACCGCATAGGTTGAGCCGTGATGAGGCTCATTGCACGATGAAATACTGAGCATGGTGTGGCATTCCGTTGTCGTCTTACTTTGAGGATCGGTGATATGCGGGGCACCGCGGTAACATGATCTTGACTAAATGATGTTTTAAATGATGTTCAGAATTATTTCTCGGCCGCGATTTCTCTGAGTTAAGGCCGGGTTATTTGCCTGTAGTCAGAGAGGGCTGACGTGTGACCCTCTTATTGTGATAA